ATATTGATGAAAATATTACAGGGACAAAAAAGACGAAAAGAATCTTAGTCATGACTATGGAATTTCTGATTATACTTTTGGCTTCATTAAATGCTCTTCTGTCTAAACTCTTAAAATCGTGAAGGTTAGATGAAATGTGTATATATAAAGCATTATAGTTTGAGAGTCATTTGAGAAATTTAGCTGTAATACCAGCTTCAATGAAATCTCAAAAACAGAGTTTTAATTAATTAGACTGTAAAGTTTAGTCAAATTTCACTCAGCATACGAAGTAACTGAAGAAAAATAAAATCAGTTACCACATCCCTGATGATGCTTAACACTGTCATCATCTAAGAAAGAAAAGTTCATTTAGTAATAAACCAAGGTGTGGAATTTATTATAGGATATACTGAGGATGAATTCAGCTGTGGAGTAAGCAGGCATAACTCAGGGGTTAATCTGGCTTCCAATGCCCAAAATAATAACCAAACTCAAAGATGAAATATTTCCTAATTTTGCTGATAAACATAACTCCTGTTCATTAGAAGAAAAAACACTTTCATTTTTAAAAATATAAAATTCCTGTGAACTCCAAAAATAAGTAACCTATTAGTCAGAGATCTTTCAAAACCTGAAGTGAAATTTTATTTTAAAAAAATGGAACAATTCAGCATAATCTGCACTCCCCTTCTAATGCAAATGAAAAACTATTGCACAACTACTTAAATTACAGGGTGGTGTGTCATTCTTAATCTTCTTAGAAATGTAGGAGTTCCTGTTTCAATCACTTCTATTGTTTGAAATATACCAGATGATAATGGAGTGGCTGCCACTGTGGGCAGAGATTGATTCTTATGTGAAGCTAATAAATGAGTTAATATATAACTTGCTGTAGGTTATGAAGAATTACTAGACAGTGGAGAAGATCAATGTATGAGACAGCTGCAAGTACATTAGGTGACCTAATTGTCTGAAACTCCAGCATAGTGGATTATATAGGTTATTCATTAGCTTTGATAGTTTAAAAAAGAATTCAACCAAGTTAAAAGCATTAAGGGCTAAATTTATCCCTGGTGTACCTCCACTGAGTACTGCATCATGGTCAGGTTAGGAACTATGGCATACAATTTCTGATATTTTACAGTAATTATAACTTCACGAACAAACTTAATCAGTTCTTGAACAATAGTTATGGGACATGGTTACATAAATCTGATTGTGTATACAGGAAGTTGACTCAAAGGACAAGAATTAAGAGCACAAAAATCTGTACTAGTATTTACTATATTGAGCAAATACATAGCAATGAAGAGAACCTCTTAGCTGTTAAGTGACTGTGCACATTGGGAACAGAACCATTCTCGCCACAGAGAAAATAATTAAGAAGCATGATTCTGATAGTACTCTGCTTGGGAACCTACTGTCAACATGAAAAAACATAAACAAATGGTCCTGCAGCACTTTAGGATACATCTGTATAGCAGGGCTAAAGTTGAATTAAGCTACACAACTTCAGCTATGTCAATTGTGTAGCTAAAGTTAAAAACTTAATTCAGCTTTTGGCACTGTCTACAGCAGGAAGTCAAAGGAAGTCCACTTTTCCTTCGATTTCCCTTACTCCTTGTGAAATGAGGGTTACAATGAGTCAGAGTAAGAAGTCCTCCAGCTTGACATTATTTCGAAATAAAGGCTTGTAGTGTAGATGCGCACTATGTTATTTCAGAATAACATCTGTTATTTCAGAATAACAAGAGTTATTCCAAAATAATGCTGCTATATAGATGTACCCTTAGAGCAGTGGTCCCCAACGCGGTGCCCGCGGGCACCATGGCGCCCGCCGGGGCATTTGTGTGCACCCGCCTTGTCTGAATTAGGCATACCTAATGTAGGGGCGGACTGGCCTGGTGGGACAGAGCCACCGGGCTCTGCACTCCTGCAACAGAGCCAGTAGGGGCACTGCTGGCACTTACGGCCCCACCAGAAGACCCCCACCAGGCCGAGGGACTCCGACGAGGAGGCCGGCAAGCTGACCCCAGCCGGGGAAGGTACTAGGCCTGGGGAAGAGAAAGTAGGAATGGCTGCGAGAGGCATGAGCATGCGCCGTCAACCCGTGTAAAACCAGGGCTGCACCGGAGGTGAAGTCATGTGCTGTGCACCGGAGGGGGCGGTGCCACGTTGGTGTGGTGTTGCGGTACCGTTTTTTAAACCCACGTCCAGCTGTGGATTGGAGTAAATGTAGTATCATGGTGATACTACCACATGATGGAAGTTCAACCATATTTCAAAACAACATCAGACATAACTAAACCACACAGTGCGGACATGGGTAAAGAATTTCAGAAAATATCACAAACCAATTAAGTATGTTTGCCAAGAAGATGTGCATTCAAAAGATTTTTATGACTTCTCACTTAGTATGACATAGATTTGATATTCCCAGTCATTTCATTTTGCTCTCTGTTACATGCACTGCCATTGAACTCAAAAGGAAAACCGTCTGCTTTCAAGCTTAGTTTAACCATGATAAATACAACTGTGACTTTTTTACATTTATGAAAAATATCATGATAGTGTATTTTTCACTGAAATTTAAAAAGAAACAGGGAACAAGAAAATTGAATCTATTAAGTGTATTTCCTGCAACAACTTAGCCTACACATATATGTGAAAAACTGTTTTACAGATTTCTGCCTGTAAACATGTCTTAGATTGGAACAAAGCCTAAAGTTTATCGATTTACACTCCTCAAGAAGTGCAATACGACACAGCTTGGAATTCATAAGCATAGACATGGTCACAGTTAAAAACATATTTCTTAAGCTTTCTTTCCAAGCTTGTATACCATGTCTGATACACAAATTCTCTGAGGCTACATCTATACCGCAGTGCTATTTCGAGATACTGGAAGTATCCGGGGTATCCTGAAATAGCTATCCTTTATCTTAACAGCAAGCCCATTATATTTCGAAATAACAGGCTTACTTATCTGACGTCCCTGTAAACCTCATTTCACGAGGAATAAGAGATGTTTCGGAATAGCAGGTTATTTTGAACTTTGGTGCAAGTTACAAAATAAGCTATTTTGAGACTGACTCGAAGTAAGCTGCACAATTTGCATAGCTGAAATTGCATAGCTTATTTTGAGCTACGGGCGAAGTGTAGACGCACCCATAGTGATCAATATAATAACTGCCCTTGTTTTTCATATTAAATGGGACATCCTAATTAACAAAACTGCAAGATCTACATTAGTAGAGTTTTAAGGATCACTGCCAATATGCTAATCACACTTTCAGAAAATAAATTCCAAAGATTCTGTTCCAGACAAGACAAACTATTTCTTGAATAAATATTATATTAACAATTAGAGAATACACAGGGGCTGATTTCATTTAATTTACCAGCTCTTCTGGGCAGAATTCTTCTTTCTGTTCTGTCCTTGTACATATCTTATGTAACGGGGACCTGGTTCATAAGTGGGGCTCCTAAATGTACCTCAACAGAAATAAATCATAGTAGCAATAATGCTCAGAGTTGCTGAGTACCAATGAGAATATAAGAACGGCCATATTGGGTCAGACCAAAGGTCCATCTAGCCCAGTATCCTGTCTTTCAACAGTGGCCAATGCCAGATGCCCCAGAGGGAGGGATCACAACAGGTAATTCTAACGTGATCCCTCCCCTGTCACCCACCTCCAGAGAAACAGAGGCTAGGTATACCTTTCCTACCCATCCTGGCTAATAGCGATTGATGGACCTAACCTCCATGAATCTATCTATCTCTTTATTTTAACCCTGTTAAAGTTCTAGCCTTCACCGCATCCTCTGGCAAGAAGTTCCACAGGTTGACTGTGTGCTGAATGAAGAAAAACTTCCTTTTGTTTTAAACCTACCTCCTTTGCCTATTAATTACATTTGATGACCCACTAGTTCTTTTATTGTGGGAATAAGTAAATAACTTTTCCTTATTCACTTTTTCCACACCAGTCATGACTTTATAGATCTCTATTATATTCCCCCTTAGTTTCCTCTTTTTTAAGCTGAAAAGTCCAAGTCTTTTTCATCTCTCTACATATGAGACCCATTCCAAACCCCAAATAATTTTTGTTGCCCTTTACTGAACCTCTTTTTTCCCTCTTTTTCCATCCATAAATGGAATGATTTTTGTAATATGCACCAAAGCATGTGCAGATGTGCACCACCAATAGAAACATATTCTGCCTGCTGTGGGTGTTCTGCTAATCAACCGGGCAGCATGTGAATCTCTTCTTAGTGGCTGCCCAAGCGCTGAGATTACAGGGAACACTGTTGAGCACTCACCACTCCTACTGACTTCGATTGCAATTATAATTGTGCAACATTTTAGAAAATCAGGTTCACAGTGGAAAAAAAAGAGTACTGGAAAAGCATATTTAAAACTATTGCCTGGTATTCCAGTTTCCTCCTTATGATCTTTAAATATTGATTTCTTATTTACATTTGTTCCTACACTCATTTATTGTTTCCTTATTCATCTCTCTAAGGCTATGTCTAGATTACATTAATCTTTTAGAAAAAGGTATGCAAATTGCGCTCCGCAATTTGCATACCTTTTTCCGTTAGCTTTTTCGGAAGAGGCTTTTCCGAAATTTGGTCCATCTACACTGGGCCAAATTTCAGAAAAACCTTCTCTTTCAGAAGAGCCCTTCTGCCTCATGAAATGAGGAAGACAGGGCTTCCGAAAGAGTGCATCTGCTCTTCCACAAAAAAAGGTGGAAGAGCAAACGTGTTCCCTGGATGCAGCTGAGTTTTTTCGGGATTCTTCTGGTATCCCAACCCCCCCCACCAACCGCAGTCTAAATGTACTGAGTCACACCAAAACTGTAAATCTTCCTCCACTATTCCCTTAAAAAGAGTTTGTTTTTCTTCTAGCCTTCTGGAAACTTGAGGCCAAACATTTTGGATTTAGGCTTCTTACCATTTCCATATTGAAATAGCATCCATAATGTAGACATAGCCTAAATATTTCTTGGGTGCCTTATGTGTCTGATACATTTTCTTAAGGAGGTACATTTCTAAGCTAACTTTGATTACTAGCAAGATACGCATGTAGATTTCCCTCTTCTAGGTGATAGGTCTTCCAATGTGTTTTATCTTCCGATACTGCCTTATTCTTCCATGCAGGTTTTAAGGTTGATATATTTTTTTTTTCACTTGTTCAGCTATGTTTTCATTTATCCTGATTTCTTTTTTTTATCTGTTGAGCATTATCTCCATTCAGCACATTTGCTGGCCCAGAATTTAGGTCCTCCATCAATTCTTGTAGCTCATTTATATTATCAGGAACTAGGACAATAGCTTATGCAAAATGGACGTGTTCTGGCAGCTCCTCTGTTTATGATGATACTTTTTTCTTTCCAAACCTATCTCTGGAAGACATTCTGTAGATACACTATAAAAAGCTTGGGAGAGCTTTGGTCTCCAAATCTTTCTGCATATCTAGGCATCCCGTGTGATACACATACAAAATTACTGACACTGAACATACAAAAGTCCGAACTCTAATGTCTGACATCAGCCATCATCTGAGGTCAGTTTGTCATTTTAAATCCTTTTGGCACAAGGCTTTCTTTTAATTTAGCCTTTACAAAGCTTTGGAAGTAAAAGCAGTTAATTTTTCTATTTCGCAGATGAACTTACAGGATTTTCATCTAGCTCTAGAAAGGAATCACTCAATGAATCTTCTCCCAGTACTTTCTCTTCCTCTTGGAATACTAGTTTGATTAGCCATAGAATGCAATGATGAAGACAATGAGATCAGATATTATTAGTCTGGATGTGCAAATCTGTCAGAAGGGCACATTTCCCACCTGAAAACTGAATTTCTGTGATTGAGACACTTGTATTTTGAAAGCAGAGGTGGGATGATTATAGGTTACTTTGTGTCCTAAGATACGGAAACTCTTTAAGCTCATCAATATACTGTACTCGTGCAATAATATATTTGGTAGTGGGAATAGAGGAGTTGCCATACTGGATAAGACCAGGTGTCCATCTAGTTTAGTCTTCTATATCTGATAATGTCAACATTAGATACTTCAAAGAAAGGCAAAAATCAGAGGTCTGCAAACTGTGAAGCTCCCTCTCTTGGCAGGGGGGAGAGAGGGAAGGCGCAAATGAACATTTGGGGGTGCAGCTGGGGAAGGGGGAGAGTGCCACCCAGCTCCATTCCTGACCCCAGCCACTGGCCCCATACTCAGAGTCCAGACTGTTGGGCCTTGGTCCCCAGGATCCAGCCTCAGCTCTACTTCCACCCATCCCCGAGTGTGGTGCCAGCCTCAGTCCCCTTATACTTGCCTGCATCCCCACTCCTGGAGCTGTAGCCCTGCTCCCAGTCCCAAGGTAATCACAGAAAGGATTAATATGGGAAAGAAGATCAAAAATTTGTGGCCCACTGGTGAATATGGAGAGTGAATAGTTATAGAAAATAACCAACCACAGGGGAATTTTCTTCTTAAGTACTAGTGAATGAGTTGGCATAAAACAGGAACCTGATTTACCTTCTCTATACTATTCAGAATTTTGCTTACCTCTGTTATGTCCCCTCTAAACAAAACAATCCCACATCTTTTTGATATCTCTCTATATGGAAGTCTGTCAATGCCTCTAATAGCTTTGGTTGCCCATGCTGCATTGCTTTGTGCATGACAAGACTGTCTTCTTTAACCAGTTTGAAAGGTCATGATGAGGTGCCTTGTTCAATATCTAGAGGCCACTGAAAATCACAAAGAGACTAATCCTGCAACTCTTATGGACACCAAAGTCAATGAAGCTGTTCATGTAATTAATATTTACTAGCATGAGCAGACAAAGCAAGATGGGATTCCATGATTGTTACTTTATGCTTTGCTATTATTCCGTAACAGAAAGAGGAAACGAGATTCTGTGCACCAGCAGATTTCCCTAATGTCAAGATTTCAAACAACTACATGTATATCACCTGTAAGCCCTTAAAGAGCTAGTAAATGACTGGAAATGAACAGGAAGATTATAGCTAATGTCACCTCCATCACGATCAAAATAGTGAAAAAGGTACACAGAGTATCGTAGTCTTGCAGATGACAACTCTACCATCTGCTCCAGAAGATGTCGCCTTAATCAGTTTGTTGGTAAGAAGAGATGCAAATTAGATATCACCCATTCTTCTATTTGTTTTGTACAGAGAGCATAAATTCTGCAAGAATGTCCAACTGTGTTCTCATCCTCTTTATGTCACAGCAACCTCATTTATCAGTCATTCTTCTCCATATGAAAAGATCTATAATGAGGAGTCTGTCATCGCCCAGCAACTCTGAGTCAGGAGTTTTCATTTTCCCTAATATTTGCTGCTTCTGCTGCAGTTTAATTTGCTGTTGTCTCATACCCCAGCATTTACGCAGTCACATCCGTGGACAGAATATGGAAAAGGCTTAGTGCTTGCCTTCAGGGTTACAAATGGATTAGATGGCACTGAGAAACCAGATTCATGATCTGTTACATTTTCAAAGGAACTCAAAAGAAAGTTTGATTCACTGTACTGAAATTACTGTGTAATTATTCTTGTGTAAGAAGTCATGGTATTTAAATATTGTTTTTCCAGGGGGTCAGCTGGGCAAGAACATCTGTAGTGTGAGGCTGTTGAAAGAAAATGAAGTCCAGAGCATATTACATTTTTTTCTTTTAAATGAAAATCTCAAAAAGGCAATATATTATCCATAAAATTGCTTTTGCTTGCACATGACAAATGTAACATTCTGGCACTCCTTTCAAAAATGCTATTTCTAGGGGCATAATATTATGCAAAAGCCAGAAATAGTAATTAAATTTCTTTCTTGTTTCACATCTAAGCAACAAGGAACAAACCTGTGACTTTGTATTCTGAAGATGACATTGTTATTTAATGAAAGCAATTTCTACTAGGGTCTGTAGATTTCAGCAAACATCTGAAGCAATTTCCACACACTGAGACAAACAATAATATAATGCCAGAATTCAATTGTACTGGAATGGATCACCTTGATCTAAGAAGAATGTAGGTGTCATGTGTTCTTTGCTAAGAGCCAGAATTTCAGTTATATAAATTCTACCATCACATTTTCAACTTTTAACATAATCACTACCCTACCTATTGATAATGCATACTAGAGAGAATGTCTATACTTTCAGCACCAAAAGCATAAGAGCTTTTCCTCTAACATACAGATAAAGGTTGCAGTTCTATCTGAAAAACATAGGCTGTGATTGCCTCTTTATATCTAAACAGAGACACACAGAAAATTAATGTAGCTATAAATTCTCCAAAGCTCTTCATAGCTTGTCTAGAGAATGTCTTCTAGAGTTAGAACAGGAAAGAAAAACACAATTATCATAAACACAAGGCTGCCAGCTATGAGTGACACAAACAGAAATAGCATCCTACTATGACTGCCTGAACAGATATATATTAAAATTGAAACTTTCACCCTTTTTTCTTTTCTGATTTTTCTGACAACTTCAAAACAGTTCCATGCTGATCAGAGAGGATAACCAATGGGACAGGGTAAAGGCTGGGGTATTCAGAGAAGAGATGTTCTAAGAGGTACATAAGAACAGCCATGCTGGGTCAGACCAACGATCCAGCTAGCCCAGTATCCTGTCTTTTTAACAGTGGCCAATGCCAGTGTCCCAGAGGGAATGAATAGAACAGGCTGGATCAAGTGATACATCCACTGTCTCTCATTCCCAGCTTGTAACAAACTGAAGCTAGGGACACAATCCCTGCCCATCCTGGCTAATAGCCATTGATGGAGCTATCCATTAATTTTTCTAATTCTTTTTTTCATCCCTGTTACAGTCTTGGTTTTCACAACATCTTATGGTAGGGGGTGCAAAATGTTGACAGTGTTGTATGAAGAAATATTTCCTTTTGATTGTTTTTAAACCTGCTGCTTATTAATTTCATTTGGTGGCCTCAAGTTCTTGTGTTATGGCAAGGAGTAAATAACTTTACATTTCATTTCTCCTATTTGTGTGTCTGTGACATTTACTTGGCAAAAAATGCATTTCTGGAGGGAAAGGTTGTTTTTCCTGATTAGAGGTCTGTTTTAGTCACTGAATCTCAGCTTTGATGAGACAAATGTTTTGGGGGCCAAATATAGGGTCTTTTATAACAAGTGCCCATCCCAAGAGAGGTTGAACCAGCAGAAATAAGACAGTGTATTGAAAAGGGAGGTGAGAGGGCACTGGTGAAGCTAGGGGACGAGGATGGCTGACAGGTGATTGTGCCTGCCAGCCAGGTATATTTAAATTCTGCTTGAGCTTTTCAAGGGCGGTTGGACCTATAGATGCCGTGTCCTTCCTCCACTTAGTTGTAACACAGGAGCTGAATTTTTCTGGATGCTATGGGTCTGACCAATCACTTGTTTTGGGATCATAAAGGAATTTTTCCTGTTAAGCCACACTGACCTAGATTCAAGTGTGTGTGTGTGTGTGTGAAGATATCCTATACCTTCATGAAAGCCCAGTTGGATTGAAAGGAACAGAACTTGAAAATTTAATATTAGGAAATGTAAGACTGTTAAACTTATCACTACTTGTGGCCAGTATGGATAAAAGTTGAAATGGCCACCTCCAAATGCTGAGACCTGGGATTTCAGTGATGGATCTTGTGCCTCTAGGAGAAGGGGAAACCTGAAGTCTTTGAAGACTGAAGTCGCCCTTGTAGCTTTAGGGACGGGGGTCTCAGAAGTAAACTGAGACCTAGAGAGTAGACTGAGAGATTTTCACCAATTTATACATGGGGGACCCTGTAACTTGACCACAATGGACCCTGTTAAATGCTGGGTATGTAACAGCAGGGGTTAGCAAACAGTGCCCCTAACCAATGATAATTTAATAAAGCTGAGGGCAGCCCGATGCCTAAAATCTGTCCCTTGTGGCTGTGGTTTCTTTGCTGCTGTGTTCCAATCAACAGCTTTTTCTCAGAACTGTCTACAGAGTCACCACTACAGGGGGTGGAAATAGTAGGCAGCCTCAACATTGTCACAGATGTTTCTATGACATAAATTGGAAAAAATTAACAGTTACTTCTGGATATTGTAAATATAGTAGAACTATACAATGATGAAACCAGTACAGCTACCATGGAATATCCATGTGACTGGGAGTCAATGAGATTGCTTGGTTTTCCCACCTTTTCCTTTAATATATGATGATGTATTTTTGCTGATTTTTCCTTTATGAAATCACAGTTATTTTAATTATGACAGAAAGCAGCTATCATCAGGGTTACATGTACTGTATGAGTCCCCAGCAGGCGAATCTACCACTTGTCTATCCTTTGCTGCAAAAAATTGGCTCCAGAATCTAGATTTACATGTGAAACACAATCTTTCTAGCCCTTTTTGGGTTATGAAGATAACCTGGAAATTGTGAAACAAATGTGAACTGGTGCACTGTCTGCCTGAAACAATAGCTCTGAGAAAAGTGCCACATTTCTTATCAAGCTGACAAATTAAACACCAATATTGTTAATTATTTCAACGCTGACCAAAGGAGGTAAGACAGGAAAACAACAATCATGTTTGGAAGACCTGTATGAGCAGAGTCTCAATTTGAAGTTCCATTTTGAATGATGGGAGTATTGTGCTTGAAAGAATACCTCTACTTTTCTTTTCCTGACTCCTCTCATGAGCCATGAAAAATATGATTTCTGCATGATCATTGATGGCCAAGCCAGCTCTGCAAAACTTTACTTTGCCACTTAGTCCAATGAGCCTTTTAAAAAAACATTATTTTTTTCCATTCTAACTATCATCACCACGACAAAGTGACAACATATCTGGCCTGGTAAATATGAGGCAATATTAGAAGCATGGTCTAGTTCTCCTTAAGTATTTCTTTTCAAATTGTCATAAGAGTTTATTCTAAAAACAGTTTTGAAGTTAAAGCAAATATGTATACACACACTTCCTCTGCAACTTGCCCTGTTACATGCTCAGTTAATGATGAAATCCAAATCAAATTTGTACAGATATAAATGTCCAAAGTAAATTATAAAGGCACTAGAATATATTGATGTAAAGCCTGAAAGGCATTATTATATGATAGTTATGGCAGTTGTCAACCAAGAGAAAACAGAGCCATTTCACATTGTAGAAGCACCTGTTGCTTGCTTCCGGCAAGCAAACACTGCTTTAAGTGGAAAGCATCCTCCAGCTGAGCAGCCGAAATACTGATTCACACATACCTGCTGTCTACAATTTTCTCCTGTGAGACTGTCATCTTCTCAGCTTTCTCAGCAGATATCCTTCCACTTGGCTTTTTGCCTCCTTCCTACAGTGGAAAAAGGAAAATGAATTTCTATACTGCTCAAGGGACTGCCAAAAAATGAGATTGTAATTTATAATGTGCTAATGTTTTCCTTTGCGTTTATAACTGAAAATAACTACTAATGCAAAATCATCATCACTTGGATTTGGTGGCTTTTGAGTTGCATATATGCTCCAGATTCTGCTATACCTTCATATCACATATTCATTCTTGTAAGCAAAATCTGGCCTCCACACCTAAAACAATCAACATTCCTTACATTTCCTTTAGCCAAATCACAATAAGGGATATGATATTTTATAGAGCTCTGCATTTTTAAGAATCTAAGATAATTTGGATCATCTAGTCCAGTGGTTTTCAAACTCTGTTGCACTGTGAACCTTCTGACAACAAAAATTTCTATACAACCTCCAGGTTCAACTGAAGCCTGAGCCTGCCCAAATCCTGCCCCCCCCCCACCCACCCAAGAACCCACCCAAGAAGGAAGACAAAAGCCCCAGCCCCACCACTTACAGCTGGAGTTCCCAAAGCCAAACCCCCAGGCTGCAGCAAGTATAATGCCAGGCGTGGCAACTCCCTTAAAACAGAGTTGTGACCCACTTTGAGGTCTTGACCCACAGTTTGACCCCTCTTAGCTGTTACTGCATTTTGTAGGATGCTGTCTACCTTATTCCCACTATGGTTCTATCTGAACAGTACATGACAGTTTGCAGTAATGGAGTTCCATTCACCTTCTCTGATGTAGTCTTCACCACAACAGTATTAATTATTAAATATCTTCTCCAGAACTTTTCTTTCTTTAGTTTCAGAGCCTTTAGTTCTTGTCCTACCATCTTTTTCAAGTATCTTATAAACTACAAGCCAAGTGCTACCTCACTGTGCAAACATACAGGTGTCATTTCACTTTTTAAATTAACGTCTTCCTTTCAGTTTCTCTATTAAAGCCATTGTGGCTGATCAAAGAATTCTGTTGTTGGTTTTTTGATTGGGCTGATATTTAAAAAATATCAACAGACTAGGATAAATTACTTTCAAATTATTTTTGGAATCAATCATTGTTTTAAATATTTTTCCACATTCACACTGTACTGTGTTGTAGAGCCTATTTGTACTGCTGTAGGTAATGTTGAATCTAACAAGCATGAGAGGTTGATCAGTTTCACATGTCTTTTTTTTTTCTGATGCATTGCTCTGGGTCCCATCTTGCACTGATTTATTGCAAAACCCAGGAACTTACAATCAGCGGCATTACCTGAGTCAGATTTTTTTTTCTAGGAAAGATGTTATCTTGTATTTTTTTTATTGTTACAATCATTATAGCGAGCAACTGAATATTACAATTTTTTAAGGCTAGTTTACAGTCAATTAAATTTCAGGAACTGTCAGCATTATATCTTACTATGGCTCAAATCTTAAAATAACTTTTGACTGGTTAAAAAGCTATAATTTGGTAGTTACCTATTCAAAAAGAATACTGTTTGCATGAAAAACAAATGTTGTATTTATGCCATAGGTTTACTCAAATTTTTGACATGGAAGATTGGTCTTCCAGGCTCATGTCTGGTAATTTATTATATTATTTATTATTATTATTATTATTATTTCTATCATGGCAGTGCCTTGAAGTCCTGGCTGAGATGAATGTCCCATTGGAAAAGCACTTGCCCTGAAGAACTTATAACCTAAATGGGCAAGATGGGAAAAAAAGAGGGAGGAAAAAAAAATTTTCACTATTAATGTTAGAGGTAAAACTGAATCCAAATACCCTAAAACTCAGTCAAGCATCTTATTATCTTATTCATGAGATTATCCTCCTCAAACATACTCCCCAATTTCATACCACTAATATCCTATCAATACTATGGATAATTCATTTTGGCTCCATTGCTGCTGCTGCTGAATCAAGAATACTTCTGATAAACTAGAGATTAGTGTTTTTGCTCATAATTTGAACATACAAAGCTATAGATATTGTTGTAATCTGTATGAACATCACACTAACTATGAAATCACTTGCAATGTCCTTTTCCCAAAAACTTGCAAAAGAACAACTATGTATTAGCCACTATAGAATATTGCAGGAAGTTATATGGACTTTCGAGAGGACTTAAAATCCTGTTTCAAATATGAGAGCAAACATGGGGTCACCACTATAGTCCTCACATTATTTCTTGTTCAACATGTAAGCGATTGTGTTTGAAATATCCTGGAATATCATCATTTGGAAGGTGTCACTGGAGATAGCGTGCAAACCCAGTCTCTCCCTGAATCTTGAGAAGTTGTCACTAAATTACTGGTTTATAAACAGGACAAATGTTTTTGGGTACCAGATTTCTGCAAGTTTCAGAAGAACTCAGTTGCTCTCTTCTCTTCCTGATTAATATAGGCACCTGGAGGGACAAAGATGCCAGGAACTGAAACCCTAACTAACCATGGACATTAGTTATTCTTGCCTTGGCAACTATGACTTGCTCAGGGCCAGTATTTTTTATGCGAGTGCAAAGCAGTTAATTTTTATTCTCATTGACATCACTACCATGAAAGAACAGATGTAGTAGTTGGGCTTGTATAATTATCCAATGATTTTGCATGGATGAGTTAACAGTATTGATTTATAGAAGGAACTCAGACAGCTCATAAAGTGTCCAGTTTGCTTGGGACAAATTTAAAATATTTTATAATAAAGTCTTCTTACTTTGTATAATTCATCCGAAAGCATGAATGTTGGATAATTAGCCAGAAGAGGCCCAAGCATGATGTTTCTGAAAACAGCACAGCCATGCTCCACTCTCTGATGGGCTGGAGGATGGAGATTTTCACCTTCAAATCCTGAGAAGTGAGAAAGAAAATACATTTAAGAATCCAGCAACAAAATGCTATGAGCATAATTAACGTAACAGTTGGTAATGCTTCCTTATGTGCCCCATTCTGCCACTCTTATTCACACTAATACTTTACTCCATACGTGACATCATCACTTCTTAAGAAGTGAAGATACTACTCAAAATAGATCTTAAGATCTAGAATTGGGCCATTGTATTTTTGCAAAGTAATATACTATAGATATTGTAGGAACTGTAGGAATTAAAAGTACTGTACGAAACGCAATTGTTTGCCTTTCATATAAGTATCAAACCTTGGTTTATTGGTATCTATATATCTAATACCCTACTGAAGACCTGTAATTCACTCAGCAGATGTGTTTTTATATTTGAGAGGGAGGGGAAATTTTTGTGACCATCTGCATCTTATAGAGATCAAGAGAGAAGATATTTTACATTGTTAATTTATGGTACTCATCATTTGGAATTGGCTGAAGTAGACATGATAAGGCCAGGCTATTGAAAAGTTCTTTGTTTGCTTAACCAAATAGTTATGCTCAGAAACAACAAGTGTTTTCTGCAGAATAGAAACAAACCAAATATTTCTAAAAAGCTAATATGGATTTATTATATGTATGTTTACTCCCTCTACGAAGAATGACAGCAAATAAAAACATATATTCAAGGGTGGTAAAACATTTTCCAGACCTTTAGTAAGTCACACTAAACCCCTGAAAAGTGATAAATATTATTAGGCTCATTTGCAGGGAGGTAAACTGCGGTACACAGGGGTTAACGAATAGAGAAAGGCAATGATATACCAACGGTATAGCTGGATTAGAACTCCTACATGATTCTCCATTATACATGAACTCTGTTCAAGTACAGTGAAGAGGAGGCTGGCAGGGAGCTGATTGTGTTCCCTTAATTTAAACCATATTACACCCCCTCCCCCATCTCTTAGAGTAGCAAGGGAACAGCTGTAACTTACACTGGTGGCAATTGGACCCTCAGTTCTTATGTCAATGGAAGACTGGAATAGTAAAGATCTATGCTGCCATGCCCTGCCCCACCTCTATAATGCCACCTTCCTCTCATTACACTGAAGACTGGGGAAAGATAGTTGAAGGATGGAGACTGTCTCTGATAGCCATCTTAACTGATGCAGTGCAGAATGGATTTAGCATACCAGAGAATCCAGCCTCCTCTTCCCTAGGCTTCCAATCTATCAGATAACTCTGACTGAAAGACAAATGTACACCTTACACATTCCAACAATTAGGGCAAGTCTACACTAGACCTGGCATCTCAGATTAAGGTATGCAAGCCAAGCTACATGAAATATATAGCTGGAGCTATCTTACCTTTAAGCCGAGCGTGGTGGCATCACCACAGCAGATGCTCCCATCAGCTTCCCTTACTACTTAAAGGAGGAGGAGTACCGGACGCCAACGGGGGCACCCTCTGAGTTCAATTTAGCAAGTCTTAAATAGACATGCTAAATTGAACTCCGGAAGATCAATCATGACAGCAGTGATCTTCTTTTAGTGTAGATAAGAACTGATTACAGTATACAAACTATACAGTATGCAAAAAAATTCAGTCTCTACTTAATTGTAGCTCTTCTGACAAAATATTGACTCTACCAGGAATGCTATAGGGGAAAAAAATACCACCTGCTTGGCAGAAAAAAACCCAGAGATAGAAACAGAATAGGAGAAGACTAGTGGCAGTGTGCAAACCATACACACTACTGTATATTTACCTAAGAATATTACAGTAGATTTAATTCTGCAAGGCAGAGTGCCCTCCACTCCAAGTGACTTCAGTAGTACCTCTAGGACTTACTGAGCACCTTGCAGCATGCAGCTCTCTATGAAAACCAGATGTGCACCTGACAATTATTTCCCTTAGTTCTTCAACTTGCTTTGTTAATGGCTGAGATGACAGGTGGTTAACTGCTTAATGTTTTCAAGCAGTGATGCCTGTCATGTTTGCCTGGTTTAGCCTCTCATAAATTGTGTGTAAAATAGTGATCAAGTTAATCTAATTTGTATGGCTGCCTTTCCAGAATGGCCACCTCCACAGTAACAGCCAGGCAAGTATCAACATAGTCAGTCAGGCTGGGCATCAACATGTAGAAAAATAAGAAAGAAAGTTAGAATAAAAAAAAGCCACTAAAACGTACATGATGCATTCATTAGACTAGCATTGCAATGTTTATCATTTACAAACTGTCCTGAGACATGGAAAAATAGGAATTAAATGATCTCTGATCATATGTAGCATTTCAAAAGTTAACATTTTCATGAACAACATAAATATCTCAAATATTATTTTTAATTTGTGAAAGAGTTCCTGATGTATTTCCTATTTCTTCTAAATACTTTACACACAAACAAACATACATATTCATACTTGCATAGTTTCTTTTTTTCCACAAGTAACTAACAAATAACAAATCTAAACTATTTGGTGAAAATTTCTCCTTTTCTTCATTTATTCAACAGATTAGGGCTGATTCTAATCTCACACTACTACAGTTCAGCAGTACAACTGCACCAAAGTCAATGAATCATAGAATCATAGAATACTAGGACTGGAATGGACCTCAAGAGGCCATGGAGTCCAGTCCCCTGCCCTCATGCAGGACCAAATACTGTCTAGACCATCCCTGCTAGACATTTATCTAACCTACTCTTAAATATTTTCAGAGATGGGGATTCCACAACCTCCCTGGGCAATTTATTCCAGTGTTTGACTACCCTGACAGTTAGGAACTTTTTCCTAATGTCCAACCCAAACCTCCCTTGCTGCAGTTTAAGCCCATTGCTTCTTGTCCTATCCTCAGAGGCCAAGATGAACAAATTTTCTCACTCCTCCTTATGACACCCTTTTAGATACCTGAAAACTGCTATCATGTTCCCCCTCAATCTTCTCTTTTCTAAACTAAAGAAACCCAATTCCTTCAGCCTTCCTTGATAGGTCATGTTCTCTAGACCTTTAATCATTCTTGCTTCTCTTCTCTGGACCATCTCCAATTTCTCCACATCTTTCTTGAAATGCGGTGCCCAGAACTGGACACAATACTCCAATTGAGGCCTAACCAGCGCAGAGTAGAGCGGAAGAATGACTTCTCGTGTCTTGCTCACAACACACCTGTTAATGCATCCCAGAATCATGTTCGCTTTTTTTG